CAGCCATCAGCGCTGATATTATCATTTCGCTGGTATTATCAGACCCCCGTTTTACTCGTTAAGAGGGAATTGTCATGCAACATTAAAAGAAAGAATCAATTTCTTTTTTCATAAATCGAAAGTATATTTCCGAAGTACACTGTTAAAAAGAAACAATATAATTTTATAACATTTTTCTTTTAAGTTCTACTCAGACATGGTGTACTAACTTTATAACGTATTTTCAAATATAATTTATAACATATTATAAATTTGTCAACACGCGTGCTTTACGAAGATTCTTGTTGATATAGGGTCAAATTCAGCGCAAACTATCCAGCTTTGGGAAAATATTTTATTTCTGGCATTCGGATGAATGTGATAGCCTCTGTCCTGCCGGAAGTGGCAGAGATAACTATATCCTGTTTAGAGATACATAAAAGAATTGAAAGGAAAAAAATATCTCTTTAAACTTTAAGGATGTCTCTTCATGTTGAAAAAAAGAAATAAAATGATTGAATATCGTCAATAGTATTCTTATAAAAAATTCATGAAATTGCTAGTTTTTTAGCTTATCACCCGAGAATCCCACCTTGACATCGATAGCTCGTTATCGAGATGCCGAACCACGAGGTCCGCCATTACCCCCCGCGAATTCCGCGCCGACCTGGTATTTCCTGTCAAAGTTTGACCTAAAATCCCGTGTTTTGTTCGTCGTCGGTGCCAAGCTCGAATCAATTGAGACCGGAAGTTCGCAGGTCGCTTTGCATTCGCTGAATATGCATTCGGGCTCGAAGCCGTTCAAGAATCTCGCTTTCTTCGAGAGATCGACCCGGTCAGCGATCGACCGAAAACTGCCTCGTAGGATCGAAATGAAATTTTTCAGAATCCAGAGCGACGCAATTAAGCACGTATCTCGAGAGGCGGGAAAATCGTCTCGTGGCAAATGTTTCTAAAAAATCGATTTATTGATACCCGTGGAGGAAAAAGTGCCGAAGAAGGGTCGCAGGTCGCTAAGACACGGAGGGGAGCTCTCGCGAGACGTTTTTAAATCAAACGGCAGGAAATATCGATCAAAACTTCGTCCAGACGGCACGGTTGAACTTCCCCGATAAATATTGCCTATCTCGTGCACGTAACTCCAGTCGGGTGGTCGTATGTACGCTTCGAGATATAGACGACGCGTGCAACTCGTACCTAAATAAATCCTGGAAGGTGGGATCGTTACTAAATGCGGGATTAAAGGAAAGACGAGATCCTGGCACTTTGGAGTCCTATAAATATCCTGGAATCTGGATCCAGGATTTTTTTCCAACGATCCTCAGGCAGTCTGAATCAAGCCCCAGGAAAATAATAAAATAAAAATTTAATGAAATATTAAAGTGATTCGGAACACTCGAAACCATTTTAATCTCCTTGCGTGTTCTTCGAGAGAAATGTTCCTTGTATATAAGTCTTATGAAAGTTTCGTCAAAGAAGGTGGGATACGTCGTTATTAAGTGCGCTAAGTGCTTGACCGAAACGTTTTCTGAAATTACAACCGACCCCCCTGCCGGTTCAGACTTTTCGTCCTGCGACAGGAGGTCGGAGGAACGAAACGTTAAAACTCACCGACGGGACGTTTCGTCTTCTTCGTGCGGTACTCCCTCAGGAGACTCCCTCCCTCCTTCGGGAAGATGGAGGAAAAAGATGAAACGTCCCGTCGGTGAGTTTCAACTTTACGTCCTCCGACCTCATGTCGCAGGACGAAAGGTCCGTACCGGCACGGGGTTGTATGTTTCCCGATTAATTCGAGGGGATTTTCTTTGTTTTTTATGTGTCCCTTTCTAGGTTCAGATGGATCACATAATAGGATCTATTTTTTTTTTTTCCAAGTCATGGGTAGTTCAGCGCCGTAGAGTTATCTGGACTTATCGGTGGGAGATGTTAAAAGATGTCGTAGGATGTTATCACAGAGATGAATCGGGAGCAGAAATGAGGATCCTTCAGTTGGGCCGCTATTAGGGGCAAGTGCGCGAGTCGTCCGCACTTTCCACCAAGGGCGGCACTCAACGCGATTTCGCGACCCAGCCCGCGAGCAATCTCCTCCGAGTCTCTGATAGGTACTTCCTCTAGATAAATCGTCAAACTGCATGCGGGGAAATTCGTGTAATTACATCCGGGGAGCAATAAGAAGGTGCAGCCCAAATTGGAAAGCGCCATCCGAAGAGGATCCACTTGGCACTCTAGCGCCAGTCCGGCAATGCTTTCTCTCCCCGAGTGTTCCCGTGACTTTTGTCACCCCAAATGGAATTATGATTTCATTACAGCAGCCGCTATGGGGGCTACAAATGAAATAGTTTGTCTCTCGCGAGGATGATACGTTAGGGGATGTTCCACGCCCCGCGCTCCGAGGGTGCAAGGGAGGATTTCTTCTTGCTCCGCTCGACATGTACGAATTAACTGTACTCCCAGATGACCGATCCCGACCCAGACGCGAACGCGGGAAAAAAATTGAAAAGACATGTACCGAATGTTGACACCTCGTCTGTCATGGATTCGTCCCCCCGAAAAAGTTTACCGAGGTTAATTCACCTAAGTGCACTGGATCCGCTTATCCGCGGCGCAATTGGACAATCGAACCGAGATCCGTGATCATGGTGACATAATTACTTAACGAGTACAGAATTGCAATAAATTCTCAAAACGATTCCTATAATCAGCAATATGAATTTCCAATCATATTTCCAAACGATCCCTGTAATCAGGAACGTGTATGGGGTGAAAATTCAACCTCGATAAAAATGGCCGACATGAAATTACTGAACGGTTACAAAATTGCAATAAAATCTAAAAATGATTCCTATAGTCAGGAATGTGCGAGGTGTGAAGATTCCGAGTAGCTCGATAAAATTGAGTGATCTAATGATCAAGGTCCCGGCCCCTTCATGGGCTACAAGTGAATCAACGAATCCCATGAATGCTTCTGTCATCCACGAAGACGCATTGCCCGGCAACCCTAACGCCAACTATTATCGCTTTAATAATTCATCGGGCGGATCGTCGAGGTGCACTTTGCCGGAAAAGTTCTCGATCAAATCGGAATCCGTAATCCGGGGTAGTTGTTTGCGGCTGCGGGCCGCGTAATCAGATTAATCCGCTTATCCTTTGATTGATTGGACACTGGCCGGATGACGTCGCGGTGATCCATCACCGATCGGCCAATCGGGTGGCGCTAATAAACATGGATAATGAAATGCAGGAAGGATTAAAGCTCGCGTGTCTTCCGGGAAGCTGCGTCGGTGATTCGATCTGGAAGCATCGTACCTGGCAGAGCGTTAATGGAGGTTCTTCCTGCGGACTCGCCCCGGAAAAACGCGAATGCCCTCCTCGGGTAAAAAGCGCATTAGCGGTGCATTACCGTTATTAAAAATCGGGGTGTAAAAGAGAGACGTGGACGTAACGAGATTGGGACAGGACGCCGGGTTCCGAGTCCTTTCCTGCACTGAGAAAAAAATGTCATTGAACGCAAGAGATATTTCCTTGAACAGTGTCAAAGAAACATCCTGTGAATTTGAAGAATAATTATTTCACTGAAATAAACTCGAATGAATTGAATGCAACATTTTCTCGGAATTATGACAATTCATTTCAGTGAAATAATTATCCCTGGAATTAGAAAAAATATTTCTACGGTTCACTGACATTTTTTTCTCGGGGCGGAAGGGCGAGTCAGCCTCGGCCCTTTTTGGGGACATGAAATTATTATCCTCCCGAGAAGACGGTCTGCCATCTCCTGTCAAGGACTACTTTACGGGGAGGAAGCCTCCTGGGGGAGGAAACGTCGGGAACGGGGTGCTCGTATCAGGGACCCGTAACGGAGTTAGATCATCCCCCGACAGGGGAGACGAGTAATTGCCAGAGACGCCGCCCTTTATGGATTAATAAACGCTCGCATCCAGGGAAAATGGCCTAGTAGAGGCCCAGTTTGTTTCTTCGAGAAATATCGCCAGGTCTAGACCTTCCTTTTCCCTGCACGTCCCCCCTCGCGTCTCTGGGAATAACCTTGTATAATCTTATGCAAACTTTATTATCGAGTTCCTTAATAAATCCCCAATGGGGTCCAGCAGTGTCGTCGTAAATTCTCATCCTTGCGATCGTTAAACCCGAGGAGGAACCTTGTATCGGTCCGGCACGGTTGGCCACCGCTGCAACACACTTATGCACCGCAAACTCTTTCACAATTATGCTCATCTTACATAATTTCCGCAGCAGAGTCTGTGCTTCCCGCCAGGAAGGCGAGCCATCCATTGTCTCTAACGAAATTGCGTCCATGAAGCGCCTGGAGATACGCGTTCCCGCGATGGGTAATCTAGCTCTACGTCGAGAGATAAATCGGCCTCGATTGGGAGCCGATAAATCGGATTCTTTCGAGTAACGATAATCGATTCAGCCGTTAATTCTTTCCGGAAACCGCGTCATGTCCGTTCCGCCCTTTTCACTGCCGACACCGCGTTATGGAGCACCTCGAAACTTTCGACCTAGCACCGACATCAAAGAGCACCAGGTACTCGTTACGAGCACATTCTACACATCGCTCAACCGGACGTGAAAAAGTTCCCTGCCGACGGTTTCACCCGACGCGATTAATGGAATTCCTGCATTGATAGGCAATTATGAGGAAGTTGTGTTTTATCCCGAGCTTCTGGTTCGCCGCGAGCACGAGTGCATCAGCTTGCACTTCTGGATGATCATCGGCCAGTCCAGGAGCGGAAGTACGTAATGCGTCCATCGGAAGGTACACGTCCAGTAAGGGAACGCGTGATGGTTATTTAATTGCCGGCAGGATTTCCTATGATAGATTGCACCTTGTAGCGTTCCTCGAGCCAGATAGTCCTGAAGAGTTCGAAGCACCGAGATGAAACGCGAAGCCAGACGAGCAGAAGGCTCCCCATCAAGAGGTACAGTCTTCCAATGGAAGTCCCATTAAAGGACCTCGAATGTTGACCAAAGTCCCGAAGGATCTTCGCAATCGCCTCCAGCTACCTCCCTATGGGCGCCGACTTCTGGTGATCAGCAACCATCAACGACTTGCACTTTTTCGCGATGTCGTGTCGCAGCCTCCTGTCCGTAGCGAGCATCAGCAGCCAGAGAATGGGCTGTATCAGCCGGCATATCTTAAGAACGATCAGCTTATTCAAACAAGCCAGCAAAGATCCGAAGAACCAGGGCGCGCCCATCAGAAGGTACAGCCTGAGGAACAGAAAGTAATTCGTCCTGAGCGCGCTGGTCTGATTCTGGGTAGCGATTTCCGTCGTGCGCTGGATCCAGACTATCTTGCAGGTCGTGAAGACAAAGAGGACGTTGTTGCAGAGCAGCGTCAGCATGGGAATCCCGAAGAAGTAGAGGTTGACCATAACGTTGGGGCCTTTCCGGTAGTCGATGTAATTCGGCTTCAGCGGAAAATCCTTGGGCACGTTTGGCCAATATTCGAAAACGGCGGCGATGGTGGTCGGCAGCAATGCCCCACCCCAGGCGAAGGCGTCGTAAATCAGCAGCTTCCGATTCTCCGCACGGTCGTCCCTTTCCGAAGTGGCTGGCACTCGTCTGAAGCTGGTGATGGCCAGGGTCATGTCGAAGCAGATGACGTTCAGCCAGAAGACGGTGGCGAGGGTGAAGAATTGCAAGAGCAGCCAGAGCAGGGTGGTGATGGTGTCGGTTGGAGGACAGCCACACAAATCAAAGTACCCCAGAAGGGTCAGGATGCTGCCCAACATCAACAGGGCGACGTTGTGGCGCAGGATAGCTCGGTCATGTAGAGTCCTCCCCAGTTGGGGGATCGAAACGTAGATGACGACCACGACGATGCAGAAAACCACGTGAGCAATGTTGGTGGACATGTAGGTCTGCGCCCCCCAGAAGACCACCATGTCCAGGTCGTAGAACGCTGATGGGGACCCATCGCCACTCGGGAGTCCACACGTCACCAGCACCTTTGCTCCGTTTCCGATGGTCCCTATGCAATAATTCCCAGCAGGATGATCGATGAAGTAGCTCTGCACCTCCATGTGATCCGTCACCATCGGCTTGGTGTCCTTCGGACACTCGAAGGCGCCTTTCCTGGGAGGATCTTCGATCTCCCGTGATCTCGTCGCGTTCGAAAAGTTCCTGGAGAGGTTCGCCGGCACGCAATCCAGGGCGTCGTTGAGCACGTCTCCCAGAAGGCAACACTTTTCCAGGACCTCCATCTGCCAAAGTCCTTGCGCAACGGGCAGGAGAATCAGCACCAAGGGAAAAGACCCATCTAGATCCATCCTGGCCGGTGAACCGAACGACACTGAGGACTTGTGAGAATCAGCGTCGATTCTCTCGGGGAACTCGCGGAAACGACGCTTCATCTTTCCTCTACTTTTGCGACCTATTACCCGGCATTATGCGGAATTTTGTAATAAGGCACATGCTGGGTAATCACAACCATCGAGCCTCGTTATATAGGAAGCTTATGAGACGGAAGTGTACTCTGACCAGGACTGTCCTTGCCCGCCTCCACATGCTACACTCCTCACGCGCGTCTCCTTGATAACCGAATGCTTCAAATTTTTGATATCGTCAATTAATTCCAGATTCTAGCCATCCACGTCCAAGGATTATCTAACTTTAAAAGTGCCGAGTTTAGACGTCTTCTCTCGATGGAAAAAAAAAAATATCCATCCATCGGCAGATTTTCCTCCTAACGAGACGTGACAATTGTGCGCCGCGGATACCGCGAAACCGCGAACTCGCGATGTGTCACGTCAATCCGCAGGAAGCGATAGAAGTCGACACAAACGAACAGTCTTGCGTGTCGAGAAACGCCGTGGAGCTGCACAAAGGAGAATCCGTCCGTTAACTCCGCGATAAGTAGCACTCGTAGAAGCAGTTGAAGGCGTCTTCGAGATCCGTCAATGGCGAGATGCTCTCGGCTTCTTCCGGAGCCGTCGAAAAGTGCACTTTGCGAGGAATAAACGCGATACGTCACCGCGAGAAATTTCAACGGGCTCGTCAATCGACTCGATTGATCTCTTCATCGAAATTGCAGGTTTCGGTTAGATTCCACATGGAACATTTCCAAATCCCCGAATTTCTCATCACGGTTCGAGTCTATCGCCTCAGGGAAGTAGCCTTAAGATTCTCACGATTAGCGGCGACAACTTTCCCGGTTTCTCTCCTAATTCCATCACCCCTCCATATTTTCCCACCACATTTCCGGGACTTTGATTTCCCTAGGAATTTTCTTCGCTCCTGGTTGGCAGGAAGAAATTGTTCACTTACCCCGGACAAGAGTGAAAAAAATTAATTTTTCTTGAAAAAAATGAAATTTTCTAAGTTTCCAGATCTTCATTAGGACCTCCGTAATCACGTGTTAATGCGTCAAATTATTCAATGCACCTAGGTTGGAGAAATTTTTTATAAACATTTTGATGTTTATATATACGTGGAATGATAATTTCATATAACCTTAAATTTCGTGCATCAAGACTGCACGTAGTATAGGAATCTTTCCTGCACTTCTGTAATCTCTGTTTTCGAATGAGAAGAGTCCAGTTGGTAAATAAACGGGCTCTTCCTCTTTCCTGGTCCCCACCAGTCGCGGTGATTCCCCAGAAAGCGAAAGGTGTCGGGAGGTGCGGCGAGGAAAATCCCCTAGGCGGTCCGAGAGTCTCCGATCGTGGTTTCCACCGGTGACTCAGATCTAGAGGAAGCCCGGTCGAGGTTGGGATCCCCAGGACATCGCCATGCCTTGGAATCATTCTCGAGTCCACCGCAGAAGCGGTCGAGCGCTTCCCGCCCGCCACCTTCGGCGTCGCGCCGCGACAACCTGTTGGAATGTTCAGAATCGCCGCGATCGTCGCTCTTTTATTTTCCGCGCGCGACGCCGACTCATCTTACCTATTTATAAAGTGCTGCGAAGATGGATACGTTCTCGACGAGGAGTTTAATTGCTCGCGGCCGGTTAACGGAACGCCTGGATCCGAAGTGCGCATCTTGCCCAACGAGACCAGCTCGATGCACCTGACTTGTCACAAAAGTATGTATGATGCGCGACATAGCGTGTCCGGGACGCGGAACCTCGGTGTCAAGAGACAGGTTGATTCAATCCCCCGGACTTAACGATCGCGTTTATTCCCAGTTATCTCGGAAATTACATACCACTTGGCTCCGATCCTGCAGATCGGGCCTGTAATCTTCAAGCCGAGGAGGATCTCACTCCCTGTCGTCCATTTGGGACGTGGGACCAGCCTCTTTTGACATTTCTTAAGGATCGATACTCTACTTGTCGCGGTGTCAAGCTGGACTCTGGGAACGACACTCTACTTTCTAGATGCCGAGGTGGGACCACCCGCGGCGATCGACAGCGGACCCGACTCGACGAACGATGTCATCTGTCAAGATGTCAACGCAAACGGAAGCCTCGTCACTGGAGTCTGCAGAGAGATCTCAAAGAACGCAATCGACGAGCAGTGCGACGGTTTGCTGACGCCTCTGAAATTCTGGGGAGCCACCATAGTGGTGTTCGCCAACCTCATCTACGCGGTCCCCTACTTCCTGGTCATCGTGCTTTTTGTTTTCGTCCCTGACCTCCGGAATAGAGCCTACGACAAGGCTGTGCTGTGCTTCAACGTGTGTCAACTGTTGACGGTGGCGATTTTGAGCGTCATGGGGTATTTTGTGCTCTGTCACATGTCGGTTGGTACCGCATACTATGTCCTCGCTGGACTGTCGCTGATGTTCCTGACCATCTCCTCCGTGGTCTGGATCTCCGTCCTTTGCTTCGACATGACCCTGGTCATCACCAGGCTCAGGTGGGTGCATGCTGGGAACAAAGATCTGGAAGAAAAACGGAAATTCAGGGTCTATTCTGCCTGGGCATGGGGCACCGCAATTGTGCCCACCAGCATCGCTTGTCTTCTTGAACTCTCTCCACTATTGCCAACGGAATCTCTTGTCAGGCCCAATTTTGTCAGGTTTGACGACGGGGCCAATGTCGCCGTCATCGTGTATGTCATCACCTTCCCGGTTATCACCTTCATCGCCAATAATGCCCTTTTCATGTACACGACCTACAAGGTGATTCGGATGAAGAGGTCGGCGGCCTTGGCTTTAGAGAACAGAACCGAGAAGGCCACGAAGAAGTACTTCGTGTTCCTCAGGCTGTATCTGCTTATGGATGCCCCCTGGCTCACCGGGGCCCTAGGGGCCATTTTCGAAGATCTTTGGATTTTGAAATTGTTCAGAATTACGCAACCCATACTTATGGCTCTCGCCATTTTGCCGCAGAAGAAGGTACGCCGCGCGTTCGCCTGCTCGAAAAATACGAACAATGATAATCGAATCCCCACCAACGTCGTTAATCCAAACACTTCGAATGTAAACGAATTCGTTACGAATTGTTAATTAAGACTGCTCGTGATATTTACATAAATACGATGATTATTGCGACTGACCACAAGGTTAAGGCGATGTGAAAGTGAGATCAAGAGGTTTCGTTTATGATAATTTTCTCCGAACTGGGTGTATCAAATAATTTGGAACTTCACCTCGTGATTACAGAAGTCCTAATGAAGACCTTGAAACTCACGAAGTCTCATTCATTAAAAAAAAAATTTTTTTCTTGTTCTTTTATACATTTGTTTAAAATGAAATTTCGCGAGTTTCAAAATCTTCATTAGGACCTTCACGTGTGAAATTTTCGAATTATTCGGCCCATCCAGTTTTAAGAAAATTAATATGAATATTGAATATTTTGACTTTTTGGTACACATGAAGACGTGAGCAAAGAAGTCATAGTTGCAATGCCAATTTTTTTACGAATAAATAATAAGAAATCGTACGTGCAAATGAATCAATTGAGACGTATTCAAGGCCGGATTACAGAAATTTAAGTTATGGGGAGTTCGGTTGCTTTATAGCCAGAAGAGGTCGACCAATTTGCGCCTGGGAGGAAAAGTGAGGTTATATAGGGGATTCCTTGCCGTATACGAGTACGTAGAATTAATATATAAAGGGGAAGGGCTCGAAAACGTACTGGAGGTAAGCAATTCCCAAGGCGGTAATGGTCACAGCGCGCTTCTAATAGAATCCGTAACTAGGTTATACCGGGATTGAAATACTCCATCCCGAGGACAAGCTTCTCTCTTCCTCGTCGGCGAACTCGTAAATATCCTTCGCCGTCGTCCTCGTGCAGGAAGCATCAAAGCTCCGCCGGAGGATTTCAGAAAAGGAGGGCCAAAACTTAATAGGATTCCCCGCTTTTTACCGGACGGCGTACAAAGAGAGAACCGAGTTGCAGGTACAAAGTATCGCGTTATTTCCTATTTATACTTTCCGTTTAGCGGAACATTAAGGAGCAAGATCATTAAATTCCCAATTGATCTAAGGAGTTCCTTGCAGAAGGAGGTCCCGACTCTCGCGGTCTTCCTTCCTGTAAAACGTATTCTTGCGACAATTTCCGCAAGTGATCCAACAATAAGCAACGATAAGTGCGAATCCTGGTGCGACCTTACTTTCCTTAATTCCAGATTCGGGGACGAAGGATCCTCCTGGGGAACTTTTCCCGCGGGAACGGGAGGAGAAAATGCGTAGCTTTTCGGAGGTTAGGGAGCAAGAGAAAATTGAAAATCGAATCAGCCAGCAAATCGGATTACCCCGTCCAAGTCGGAGTGTATAACCGCGGGCGGACTGCCTCCTGGTTGTCGTCATATCGCTGCGGGGAGTCCTAGGGAGAGAAAGAGCAAGTATCGAGAAAAGGATCTTCGGAATTAAATCATTTACGATTCGCGTGCGGTCCGTAATGGATTTCCCAAGATCCGCACACCGAGGAAGAACGATGGCCGAACGAGGAACCCATTTCCCGCCGAGAACATCAGACCACGAAGAAACCGTTCCGGCACGCTGAGAGAAAAAAAATCACTTTCTAGAAAAAAAAAAGAAAAAAATTCTTGCATCGAACAGATACTCCATTCGTTGCAACCACAAAATCAGTTAAAGCAAAGAACAGCATTTCTAATAAAGGTTTGCTCTTACCGAAGGAACAATTGCACCGACAATAGAAATACTTGCAAATATATCGGATAAATTGAATGCGACATTTCTTCAGAATTATGACAATCAATTGAGTTCATTCGAGTGAAATAATTATTCTTCGGATTCATAAAATATTTCTTTGATTCGATGGATTTTTTTTTCCTCGGGGTGGTCGCAAGTAATTCATCTCATCTACAAAGTAATTGTTTCGCTCAGTGCAGATTAGAAGAGCCTGGGATATAATTGAAAGTCCTCCCCAGGCTTGAAATTCGGAGGCATGACGATAATTTAGGAATTATTGGACCCAGGTATTGTTCCGGCGAGTGGTGTAGAGGACAATGGTCCGTATCGAGGGACTTGTACGAAACAATGTTCGAAGACGCGACCGAAGAGGGCGAAATTAATTCGCAAGATTAATGCCGGGGTACCGACAATGGCCGCCGGTGCTTCGTCAGATCCTGCCTCGGATCGGTCCCCATATTCGAATACTTTCGGCTTGATCCTTTGAAAATTGGCCGGCAAGTTCGCCCACTTCCCCGAAAGTTGGGGCCGAATTACTTACCGGGTTGCTCGCCGCTATCTATCATCCACCGTGGCCCTGCTAAAATAACCGTTTATTTTCTTTTCCCCAAGCTGGGTCTCCCTCGACGGCGCCTAAGGAAATTACGTCCTCGTAATTTCATGGTTCCTTCTCCCGTTCGGCGTGCCCGACAATGGACGCATCCCTCCCGAAGGAATCGATACCGAGCTCGAAGGACGCGACTCGCCGCGGTAGGAGTCTGGAAGGAAGGTCGCGAATGCCGGGAAATCGCTTTATAAGGTGAAAATGTGGACGGCCAGGAGGGGTGGGTGATCCTTTTCCGGATAAGAAAGTCAAACGTCCGCCCGACGCCCATCGACCAGATACCATCTCTCTCGAGACTCCACCTTAAGGTTAACGTGGCGGCGCTCCTTCTCGGAGCAGCTAGCGGAAAATTAAAGTGGGCCAACTTTCCGGCCAAGGGACGCCCATATTTCCGCCCCCTTAATATTCATAACCGGGGGGGAGGCCGATCGTTTCGCGAGGAGCAGCTCGCGTCGAACTCCCCTGAACCGCGAGAAAAAGTCGGCGTCGCCACCCGTGAACGTCGGCTGGAAAAAATCGGCCCCGACGCCCCTTGACAGAAATTTTCATCCGTGGAAACGTCGCGTGGAAACGAATTCCCGCACGCAGGTTTTCTTTTTTTTTTTCCAAACCCCCCGGAACACGTCTTTTCAATCTCGGCGCGAGGCCGGAAGACGAATTATTCCGCCATTTATCAGCCGGCCCTCTTCATCCCTCGGACGGATGCGAAACGCGGAGCCGATGCGTCTTCATTTCCGAAAGAGATGCGTGCCTGTCGATTCGTAATTGGCCGAGGGAATTTATGGCGTCTCGCGAGCGAAGGTACATTATTCCGCGGAGCGATCGGATGATCGAATGACCGACCGGAAGGTGCGTCCCGTCGTCTCTGGCGGGAATGAAACCGCCATTCCGGAACAGGGCACTCGCGGAAATCATGAATCACGAGCCCGCTAACAAGTGCGTCAAAGAGAATGAAGATCTCGGAGGATCCCGAGACGGATCATCGCGCTTCATCCCGACTCAACCGCCTCGATTCCGTTCATTTTTCACGGGGCGGACACATTAAAGATACCTACCGCGATAAATGGTCCCGCAAGAGACGAGGGCGGAAAGAAAAATATGTTAGGGGAAGTGGCTTGCCATTTCTCTCGGGAGGATGTTATTAATTACCGGGTGCTTTGTGTAAATCGGCGGGCCTCGCGGTGCGCTAAATCACGGCGAAGAGATGACGCCGAGCGAGCGCAACCAAAATGGCGGCCAAAGGACGCTCGCCCCCTTCCGTGCCGAAACTCCGGCCATCTCCCCCGTGCATTCGCATTAGGAACCGAGGCGCCCTTATTGCCTTGTAAATTTCCTCCCCCGGCCCCAGACTCAGGAACAAAACGAATCCAGATTTATCTAGGTCTTAATGGCGCGCATCCATCCCGATTCGGCTTCCTTGGTCGTTCGACCGTTTGGCGCGTTCGAATTTAAACTCCTTGCGAGATATCGCATGCCGAGGCGACGGGGACTTTCGGGAGCTTCCGCAAATATGATTCCATTCGCTTCCCTCCTTTCCTCCCCGTGTTTCTCCTTTATCCTCGATTCCTTAATACGAAAACCGCAGCGGTGGCTCCTCGCCGACTTACCCGCCGTCTGGCTCGGCCAACGGCGGAATACAATTGTCATAAATCGTTCCTCCCTCGATTTTTTTTTCCCCTCTTTTATTTCCGGGCTTGGAGGATGCCTCCGAGCTTCGCCCTCTCGTGCCCCGGGAATAAGTTCGCATTGCGCTTCAACGCCACTCGATTCGCGTCCGCTTAGCATTCAGCGCGGTGGAGAGTGGCTGTGGCATCGTCTACGTCTACGTAACACAATGGTGAGACAACGAACCGAAAGAATAACTCACCCAGAACGCGACGCACCCTGCATGCAAAAGTATCGCGTTGCGCACCCTGGCCGGCCGGAGGCGTACGTGCGCAAAAGAGCCCAAGTAAGGGCTGAACGTCCCTCTGCAATTTTTCCGGAAATCATGTCGTCACTTTGATCTAACCTCCGTCGCGGTCACGTCCCGCTCCAGAGGAGTACCGGTGCCGTATGCTGGAGAAAAATTGTTTCTTTCTTTTTCTGTATTCCTTTTTTATTTATTTCGCGATTTACGCGACGATAGATCAACTTGTACGGTCTCCGTAATTTGGGCTAGCGAACTTTATGCAAAACTTTCGAATTTCGTATTTTCGAATTTCCACTTTTACACTTTCACGTTTTCACATTTTCACATTTTCACATTTTCACATTTTCACATTTTCACATTTTCACATTTTCACATTTTCACATTTTCCGATTTTCGCATTTTCGAATTTTTACATTTTCGAGTGGGTGATGGGTGGAATTGAAAATGACGATTCGAAATCTCGACCCCACTGGATTTCGTTCGAAGTTCCGTTCCCGAAGGTTCACGACGTCAACCCCAGCGAATCTGGAAGCGAGCTTTGCTAGGAAGCGAGAAGAATACGAGGGGCGCAAATCCTTCACCCGAGAGACGTTGACTTCATTTCCTATTCCCCGGCGACCGGTTCCATTCCGTCCGCCCTTCACGTGCATGCACCGCGGCTTCCGCAATCCCTACAATTCTAATTCTGGCCAAAATTAAATGGCCAGATATCCGAGTTCCGGCCAAGCATGGTTGGCCAATTCCAGGCCGCCGGGGAAACTCGGTTAAAAAATCCGGACGAAGCCCGGCGGGTTTCCCGGCTCTTTTTTCACGACGTCCAAACTTGGTCCGAAAAAGTTCGATTTTTATGAATTCCTTATTTTTGCGGGATTTAACGAGGGCAAAAAAATAATCCCGTCGCTCGGAGCAGGCAGAGGGTATTCTAAACGCGATGAAAACGCGAATGGCGGCCGGGGGGAGGGGGAGGAAAATAAGGGAAGGAGTAAAAGCGCCTTTGAAAGGCACGACGAATTCCGGGAGGAAGGGAGAATTCGTGAAAAGTGCTTAGAAAAATGGCGATGCGTCGAGGGGGGATTATTTAAACGGGTGCAAATGGCTATTTCGAGAATCGTTTCCAGAGACGAATGCTGGCACTCGCGGAGTGCTCGCTCGTAAAGGGGGATCGCCTTTTAATCGGGCGTAAAATGTTTATTCCTCTATGGGGCATAATGGCGGAGCGACGCCCAAAATGGCCGCGGGTCTCTTCGGTGGAAAAATAATCGAGGGATCTGGGAATTATCACGAAGACCACCGACGCGATCGTCTTCCTCTGGACCCCATAATGGCGGGGCTATCGCGATCGCGATATCGATTCGCGTTACGGATTCGCATTACGGAGGCACACCTACTTCCACTTTGCCGACCTTCGGGAAGAACCCGGCTTCCTATCCGGGGTCATCGAGGTTCGCAATAATGGAGGGGACCCCATCTGGTGGGATTTTCCCGAACCATTTATTTGACCCTTCGGTATCATTCAATCTGCAGCAGGGCTACAACCTCCGGCGAAACGGTCCGACCTTTTCGATGTCGCTGATCTCAGGATCACGGGGGGAGGTCGCCATCGAGGAACTTCCTTCAAAGTTCGATCGAGTTCCCGAGGGTCGCAACGACCGAGCGACTTCTCGAATTAATCGAAACTCTCCATGCACCGCAAAATACCCCTCGAAGAGTTCGACTCGAGCCCGAGCGTCCTGTCGAGGATTCGACGTCTCTATACCGACCGAAGAAAAAGACGGCCAGATCGAAGGAATCCCTCGACCGCTGTCGTCGAATTTGAATACGAGTCGAAACGAAGGCAGCAGGACGAGTCGAGTCCTTTGAGATCCTCCGACGGAGCGGGGCCCATGAATCGTGGGCAGAGTCGTCCCTCTTCAAGGCCCTCGGTGTCAGGGACGCCACTT